TCAAGCAAAGGTTATGCATCATTTTTAACACAGTGTTGAACATTCTGTTGAACTTTACCATTGCCACCCTTTCATTATGTTTGCAAAGGTTCACATACTCACCCACTCAATGTAATAAAATGGAGTAATGGTTAGGCAAGCACCAACCTGTTTTTTGGATTTTTCAGTATTTTTTTTAACTGATTCAGTATTTTAAATCAAATCACAAAATGAAAGTTATCCTGAATGGCAACTCTTCTAGATCTTTTTGTAAGTGTCCCTCCTACTTTGTTCTTAATTTTCATCAATGACTTTGCTGATGGCATCACTTCTCAACTCAGTATCTATGCTGATGACAACTATTTACTCTTGTATCAATAGTAAGTCTGATCAGTTTGATAAGGTGAAATTGGCAGCTCATCTCAAAACTGACATACAATCTGCTGTTAATTTGAGCAAGGAATGGCTTCTTAATTTCAATGCTTTCAAAATTAATCTTTTCTCTATTAATCATCTGAGAGACCCCTTTCTGCCTCCTATCAGAATGGCTGATTCTAACCTCCTTCTTGGGCTAACATTCTCAGCTGACAAGAAGTGGAAGGAGTATATTGAATCAATTACTAGGTCTGCTGCTAGGAAAGTTGGTGTATCATGCTAGGAAATTTTATTCTTCTGAATATATCTTGCATATTTATAAGTTTACCATTCATCCATGCTTTGAATATTGATGCTACATATGATCTGGTTTAGAAATTCTTGATAAAATTCAAAGAAGAACCATCACTATTATTGATCCTAATCTAGCATCTTAGCTTCAGTCACATTCCCACCACTGTAATGCCTTTTCTGTAAATACCTTCATGAATTTAAGTGCAGTACTAGATTGACAACAAGGTTTCATTAATTTAAAGTTAAATTGGTGAGATGTAACTGTAAGTTCTATGCTAACAGTTTCTTTTCTCTCACTTCTTACTTCAGGCTCCTTGTTTCCAGCCAACTTTGATCTTCAAAAATTTAACTGAAACATCAATCATCATCCACAGTCTTATTGATTCCTCTTCTTCTATTGTTCTCACCCCTTAATAATTTTTCTCTCTTTTCTTATTCTTGCATGGGATGAAATAAAATAAAATTTTTAAAAAAAGAAGGTAAGAATTTATCTTTGATATTTTTAAACACACTTCCTTAGTTTTGGCTTTGGGTTATGTAATAATTTTTTTCTATTTTTATATATTTAAACATTTTACACCCTTTTAATATGTATTAGAATTCTGTGCTATGAAAAAATTAAAATTGGTGCCATGTTTTTACAGTTTATATGATCTGGTTATGGGTAATATGGCATTGTTGAATGAATCTATATAATTTGATAATGTAACCTAAAAAATTACATGCTACTGGGTCAGGTGACCTGTAAAAAAAATTATAACTTGTTGGATTATGAATCATTTAAAAAATATTAAAGATTCAAATTTTTTAAAAATATCACATAACCAGGAGCCAAAGCTAAGGAAGCATGTGACAAAATCACAAAATTTAAATCTAATATCCAAAAAATAAAATAAAAATAGACAAATGGAAATAAAAGAAAAGAGGAAATGACATCATCTAAATGTACAATATGTATCCATCCACATCTGCTCCTGTTTAATGTCTGTTGATTGCCATTGATTTCAGATGAGAATGAATAGAGTACAATTCCCACATTCGTAACATTTAATTTAAAAGAGGGCTCAATACAAAGCAGAGCAATATTCTTTATTTTGAGGATATTGCATCAAAAACATGTCAAAATTGCTACACAATTGCAGTCATGTTTTGATGCGCATACAACGCATCTCATCAAGTGTTTGTAAATTATTGGTGAGTGAACGATTTAATCAAAGTTAAAAGCAAAACACAGCCTCTTTTTACGAAAAAAGAAAAGGAGAAAAGAGGTGGGGTTATAAGGTTTGTGGGCTTTGCTTAGATCAACCAATCAAATATGACCTATGTTAAATTTAAACTAAGGAAAGAAGCAAAAATTAAGAAATTATTTTCCATAAATGGAAATTCAAAGTTTACAATATGACCATGTACTCAATATATAAAGTTTAAAAATTTATTTATTATTCACACAAATTGTGTATTAAAGAAAAAAGGAAAATAGCTCTTTCAAAGTTCAAAAGGAACTTAACCATTCCTTGAGAATTGAAGAGATATTTTTAAAATCATGTATAATGGTTCCACAAATCATTCTTTGTACATGGTTTGGCTAGTAATAAGAATTTTTTTTTTAACCATTTGTGCCATTGTTTTCCAGAAATATTTTCTTGGGAAATAGAAGAAATTTCTACTGTTTTTGCTGAAAATGTGCTTCTTCTGAATGATAATTGAGGTTATCTTTCCAGCATTTTGGTAAATAGGCATCATAATGAAGTAATAATCAGTTGTAGTGTTTGTTGTCAAAATATACCGCAAGATGGTTGACACAGTGCTGGTGTATCTTACCCCTAAAACCCCTGACCGGGGAGGGGGGGGGGCGTTTCTTGGATCCTGTTGTGGCCTCTGTCATTTTTTTTCAGCACTGTCTTATGGTCACCCCCCATTTTTTTAATTATTTTTAAACTGATATTACATTGCCAGTCATCAGCTAATAAATCAGCATGGCCGGTGTGGTGCAATACTATGCAGGAACCTCTAATGATGTTGGAGCCCCAAAAGGGTAAGTTTCAACAGTGTTTTTTGCTTTTTGTAATTATTTTTTTTTCTACTTACGTTTTATTATCAATCATCAACTATAATAATCGACAGGGCTGTTGCTTGCTACACCGAACCTCTCAACAACAACTGGGAAAGAGAGGGAGCAAAAGTGCTAATTTCTGTAGCGTTTATTTTTTAAATTGTAATTTTTCCTGAACAGTTCTTTTAAATCAATTAAGAGGGTAATATATCTTGGTAAAATCATTTTTTATTCTGATTTTTTTAAATACTAACCAGAAGTCTACAGATAATAATTAAAATAAAATTTGTAGCCCCTATTTTTTATATTTCTAGAAAGATAAAATTGAGAAAATAACCGCTTAAAAAAAATAAAACTGTTTAAAGATTTCAACATTTCCCGAAAACTGTGTAGAGGACCGGGGGGGTGAAGATGAAAAGAAAACACATGCGTTTAAATTTCCTGCTAGAATAAGGTCCAGATACAAAAGAATGTTGGACTTGAATAAGTTCCAACTGAAGATAAAAAAGACAAACAAGACCGATATATATATATATATATATATATATATATATATATATATATATAATAACAACAAATTCAAAGCACATAGACAGTTAACATTGTGTTTGTGTGTGAACATTTGTGTTTGTTCTTTGGTGAATGTTCATATTTTGGAAAAGTTTCTAAGAGTTCGTGCATACGTGAATGCGTGAAATATTATTTAACGTCTGACCGCATGGTTGAGACGATAATTCTCTGGGACTACATTTTGCAGCAAGAATAGAGAAAAAAGCAAACTCATGTTTGCTATTTATAGATAATGTAATCACATGACAGGCTCACAGTGCCTTGGCGAGAAACTTGACTTAGTCACACAATGGAAAAATATATTGTGCATGGGTGGATTATAATGCCCACTTGTGTGTTTATTGACCAATTAGAAGCAGATTTTTCCTGAAAATATTTACTAAGCTGAGAAGGCTCTTGGGATCCGATTCTCCCAAAAGTGCACAAAATCAACTACATGAAAATATAGCGATTATAAAATTGTTGCATAACTGCGATTTATAAATTGTCCATTACACAGTGAATGCTTGTTGTATAATTTGAATTTGAGTAAGTATGTATGTGTGTGTGATGATGATCATTACAACTGAAATACTGTTTTTAAAACAATCCTGTTTGTGTTGTGTTGGGATCTTTATAAAACTTTTCTCAACGGAGATGCATCGGCAATTAATCTTTAGTTTTTTACAGAAATGTAAAAATTTGCAAGTTAAACATTTTTATTTTTTCGAGTAAAATTTAGTCATGAAATATTAGTGGTTAATAAAAGAATTAAGATATCTCCGATTTTTTAAAAATAAAAATCCTATTCATTATAAAAGTAAATAATTAATGAATATGTACTGAAATGTGCATTTAAAATGCATAATTCCCTGATTTTTTGCAATTAAAAACAGCGCTGCCCTTACCCACCAATTTTCCTTCGAGGCCCGTGCTCGCCAGGTTGGGAAACTGAAATCTACACTAGGTGGAGGGGGTTGACTTCTTGACACTCTGAAACCAAGAGTAAAAATTTATGGGAAAGACTTGCAGGCAAATTTCTCTGGAAATTATTAATTTGTTACTCACATGAAAAAAATCTATCAATCAATCTGAGGTTCGTTAAGTTTTACAAAATTTATATTATTTTTTAAAGAGTTTCTGAATTTGATTTCGTTTTGATCCTGCGTTTGGACAACTCCAAAGAAAATTGTGAGTAGTACAAATAGAACTAAAAAAAAAAGATCTTTCGAATAAAAACATTTCAATGTTTCAACCAGCTTTTTAAAAATAAATTCTTAAGAATAAAGACGTTTTGTATGATTTTTTTTATAAATTTTTAAACATGTTTTGACTTGTTTTTCTTAAAGTTTCAGCAAGAATATGTCAAGTAACTGTAAATTATATCGATTGGCACTTCAAGAAGTGCCAACAGAATTTACAACTTGGACTTTTGAGTTTTGTTGACATACCCTGCCCGGCATGTATCAGTTTGCACATAACCCTTTTTTTAGCCTAGACAAAAAAAAAAAGTAAACATATGTGGAACACACATAGAAAGTTTAACTTGATTATGGCCCGTAAAACGAATCTGTTATTAATTAATCCCTGTTGACGTGTTCTTCACCACCCGCCGCCAATATATATGTAATTATTTTTTGCCAACGATTGTAAATATTTTTAAGCGGAAGTGGTGACCTTGACGGAAGTGAACCAGGCAGACATGAAGTACGTCTGCATGAGATCCTTTCGTAAATCTTGAAAAGGAAAAATGGGTACTAAATTATATTTTACGTCACTTTTGGTTCTCATTTTGGCCTGTCTGTGTACTGTATGGCTAACAAAGCCCGATCTGAGTGATTCTGTTTTGTACAAGGTTAATGAGTGGGTGAACGACATTAAAAAGTTTACCAAGTCATTTTCTTCGCAAAACGAAGATGGTGGTGTCGTGCTCAATGATAATGAAACAAAAGAAGAGGAAAGTATTATTGCTGCCTGGAATAATTTTATTAAGCCCCCATCGAAGAAATTCAAACGGATATCTGTTGGGTATGTTTTGCCTCTTTATTTCTGTAAAATTATTTATTCATATGTTTGCTGAAAACTCCGAAAATAACTGGCATGCTCTCGTAAGGTAAAAAATATTTAAACACGTGGCTTGTTTGAATTCTTAAACTTATTTAACCTTAGATTGTGCCATCTGTACAGCACTCTTGTTTAAAATATTTGAAGCTTGTACATATGTAACCCATATCAAAGAGTATATTGATTTTTAAGCTCTTGTTTAGCTAAAAATAGAAACTGTAAAATATACCACTATTCATAAAATAAAAATAACTTTAAACCCAAGAGGGCAGGGGTGACTCTTCTTCATTCTTCACCCTATATAACGTAATCATATCTTTTCCTACATTGTCGGCACTCTGCAGAAGCTTCTTCCAAGTATTTATCCACTGTTTTTATTACTGTCTTTTCTTAGTATCAACATTAACATCTTACTCGTTACTATAGACAGTGTCACGTATTTAGAGCCGGCTTTTTTTTTTTTGTCTACAGCATAATGAAAACAAGGTGATCCTTAACCTCGGTCGCCTCGAATGAAAGCCTATATAACAAAAATACTAGGGCAAGGAAGAATACAGTTGACTGGTACAAAAAAATTGTTGTGTAAAGTTGTAACCTAAATCCAGAATTCATTTATTTTAGACTTTATTTTGTTTTTTGTTGTTTTTTTTTTTTTTTACCTTTTAAAATAGAAATGCAAAGTTTCCTTAATTGTTAAAATAAATAAATAAAAATAACTTGAAAGATTATCCGAATCTGGAGCAGCGCATCGAACAAGGCGCCTCTTCTTATCGCACTTGTTAGATTATGTTTTGTTTCTTATTTTTGTGGATCCTAAGATAAAATCTGCACCAGTGCCTGTTGTCTACAGTTTTTATTCTTACTTTGCACTTTTTCATTTTTAGAGCAAATTGTTAACATTTAAATTTCATTCGTCATCAATAAAGTTTAAATTGATGACGAATGAAATTAAAAATGCTTAAAAAATAAAGGCATTTTTCTCTATACGCCAAAAATACGTTCATTTTTTTTTTTTCCACTGGCTTAGTTTTATTTGACTTTTGATTATTTTGACTTTTTTTTTATATAGTAGTAATCATCTTTTTACCAGTTTAATAACTCAACTGGCTGTAAAGTGTACATTCACCTATTTGCTAGAGAAATCAATAATTACGATTTTGCGGATTAATTTTAAATGCGTTTTCCAAACCAAAAAAAATTTTTTAAAATGACATTTTGACTGTTTGTGACCTTGACTTTTTTGTGAATATTCTCAATTTTTTTCTTTAAAAATTAAAACTTTTGCTCAGTTTTAATAAACATATTGAAATTGATGTTTCACGAAAAAATGAACATTGATATGTTCACTATTTATTTTAATTTTCCTCATAAAATATCTCTATTGGAATTTACGATAAGTAGATTTTTTGTTAATGAAAATTTCGTTGTAAATATTCTCTGGGTTATTGAGTTTAATTACTGACCTGCCATTCCAGGGATTACTCCCGCCCTGTTAGTGTTACCAAAAAAAAAAAAAAAATATGAAGAGAAGATGGGCGTCGTCAATGAAACCCTAACAACCCAAGCTTAGAAATGTCATGAAGGACCCAGCATGATGATGTGCCCCGACTATTGCGAAATTATGTGATAATGTTTTTTTTTGTTTGTTTTTTTTTTTTTTTCATTACTGATTTACCTTCCTGACTTTGTATAACAATTAAAGTTCACTTAAATGAAAAAAGAAGGAAACAAAAATGTAATCCACCTATTTTTCTTCACAAATCTCAAAATGGGGTCACCGTTATCCATGTGGAAACAAAAATGTCATAGTTTGAAAATTTTAATAACAACTGACTAAAAACTCTTCTTCACTTTTCTTAATTTCTCTGGCAGATATTTAGAAATGTCTTCAATTAACTTCAAGAAAATTCAAGGATATTGTGGCTTTGCGTTGTGGTGTGATGGTTATCGGTTCAGGATGAGAGATTGGAGAGAGCCAAGATTGTGGAATCTTCCACATTAGCCTTTAACCCCTTTCAGAAAGATGTATTCTTCCCTAAAAAGCATTTAACCAATCATCATCTCGTTTCTGCAAATTCAACCTTCTATTGGTTAATAAACACTAAATTGTAGCAAAGTTTGAAATGAATCCTATTTCCCGCCAAGCTCTCTAGAGCCGATTTTGCTACACAAAAGTCTATAAAAATAACCGCATGCCTCAATTCAGACAGTCATTGAGTTTCATGAGATGCTACCAAACTCCACATGTGTCAATTCACTGACTCACACACCACATTGAAATCTCAACAAACTCAGCAAAGTATTCATCCACGTGTTTAATCAACATCTACAATTGACTTAAAAAGTGAACATTTTCACTACTAAGAAAGTAAATGTACACTTCACCAATCAGTTAAAGGCAAGCAACTCTTGACAACATTTATCCTTACTTCTAAATTACACATGTACACACACTGATAAGTGAACGAACACATTTGACATCTTTCTTTGCAGAAACCAAGTTATTTTAATTTTTCTAACAATCAAAAAGCATCAACATTTCTTAACCATATTTCTGCATAAACATTCTTTATAACATTATCTTAGTTATTACAACAACAAACATTTTGATTGTCATTATATGTATATTTTATTGTGATATAAAAATTTCTTTATTGTTAGATCTCTAACAACTGTGTTTAATTTCTTCCCATGCAAATTGTCCTTAAATTGTTTGTGTAATCTATATGTTGTGGGATACTGACATTATAAGCACGCATAATCTTCATCTTACATAAATTTACCTTCTAATACATTTCACTCTGTGTACATCCCGCAACAAGATCACTATTCACTTACGCACAAGTACTTGTGGGGAAAATATACCTGCTTCATCAGTCATGTATCAAAAGATGCATGATCGCCCTAAATGTGTATCATGTACGGCAAGGGTTACTAATTGATCTCTGATTCTTTTTATTTTTCTTATAACTGCAATGTTTACTTTTTTCAATATTGTTATAGTGGAACACACCTATTCTATAGTTAATAAACTCTCCCACCTATAATAAGTAGTAGTAACAGTTGCAGTGTTGGTCAGTCAGTCGATGTCGGACAACCATTATTCAAATACTAAAAGTATCAGTGACCACCACTAGATTTCTCTGCATCATTACCTATTATATCAAGTTCCTAACGTTTTGTACGTCGAACCTATTTTAGGACCGACTTAGTGAAATACAAGCCTCCACTGTGAAACTACTCTACAACACTTGACGATGACGATTTGAACTCATATGGAGGAAGAAAAATTTTCGTTCACCCTACAACACTTGACGACGAGGATTCAAACTCATACGGAGAAAAAAAAAAATTTGTTCGCCATATACAATACTTGCATTTACGATAAGTTCACGAAAAGGATTCATAACGGAGGAAGAAACTCATTTTCGTATCCATAACAAACTTTACGGAATTCCCACAAGCATTATTGGCCGGATTCATACGGTGGAAAAAAAAAAATTTCACTTCATAACAAATTTGACCATGAGTATTAAAAAAAAAAAAAACTCATACGGAGGAAAAAAAATTGTATTTACTGAGAAAAAATTTTTTTCGGTGAAGGGAGTTTTAAATTCATAGAAAAAAAAACCCCCCAACGCCGCCATTATTTGGTGACAAAATTCATACTCAATGGAGGAAAAAAAAAAAAACTTGCTTGTCACAATTCAAATAGCAACAAAATCTTGGATTCACACTTAAAAAAAATGACAATATTAGAGCAACAGAAAACATTCCAGATGCAACTACAGGAGGAAACTTTTAATAGATGCAGTTTCAACGAGAAATGGAACAGATGCATAAGGAGTTTCAAAACAAAATTCTGGAAATAACTGAGATGAGAAAAGAGAAAAATTTACAAAATGATTCTTTCCCAGAGAATACAATATGGAATTCAATTGAAATATTCACGTACAGTCCAGATGAAGAGATAATTTTTGAAGAGTATTATAAAAAATATACAGATGTGTATAACGAGGACTGTCATTCGTGGTCTGAAGGAAAGAAGGTTAGACTTCTTTTAAGCAAGTTAGGAACTGCTGAGCATAACAAATTGGTAAACTACATTTTACCGAAAAAAAACTAGCGAGTTGACATTTACCGAGGAGGTAAATATATTAAGTGAATTATTTAGTAAAAGGACATCTTTGTTTCACAAGAGGTGGAAATGTTTGAATCTGATGAAAGATGACGAACAAGACTATATAACGTACGCAGCCAATGTGAATAAGCATTGTGAAGAATTCAAGCTAGCAGAGTTAAGCGCTGACAACTTTAAGTGCTTAGTGTTTGTTCAAGGGCTGGTATCGGAAAGAGACACACAGATGAGAAAATTAGTACTGGCAAAATTGAAAAACTAACCAAGGATTATGATACAGAGTTTGGCAGAAGACTGTACAAGATATGTTAGTGTAAAGTAAGATTAAAAAAAAATAGGACAGTCTGGCATTTCGCATGTAAGGAAAATACGCTACAAAAAAGAAAGTCAGTCTACCAAAAAGAATTCTAAAATTGCAGATTATCAAATAAAAAGTGAAATACCAGAGAAAAATAAACAAACTCCTGAAGCCATGTTTTGCTTGCAGTGAACTTCACTGGTACAGATATTGCAATTTTAGGAATAAAAAATGTTTCAACTGTAAAAGAATGGGTCATAAAAGCTCACACAGCAGGTCAAAAAATAAAGACAATAAAATAAGAAAATTAAAGTCCGACGAGGTGAACGATGGAATAACCAGAAAATTTGTTACCATCGAAATAAGTAATAAAAAAATAAAAATGTCCCTCAACACTGGTTCTGACCTATCTATCATAAATTTGCATACATGGAAGAAGTTGGGGAAACCAACTTTAATGAAAACAAATAAAATCGCGAGGTCAGTAACGGGAGAAAAAATACAATTTATTGGAGAATTTGTTACAAA